AATGGCTTTTTCTTCCCTTTGGCCAGGCGTGGACTGATACAGTGAATTTGGTTGAAATGTGGAGGGTGATGGAAATAATGGCTTTCCTCGGAGAAAAGAAACAGAAAGAAACGGCGGCGGAGGAAGGAGTGAAAGATTGAGAGGCAGAGTAAGACAAACCCATCCATCACGTAGCCTTGTATCATTGCCTTTGACAGATCATTTTCAGCGTTTTCTAAAATAGAGAGAAGAAGAAGAAAAAATCTCCTTTTTCCTCCTCCTCCATCCAAAAAAAGGGCTCCAACCAAGTGTGGTCCGAACTGACCAGGAGCGCTCAGGAGTGCACAAAAGCGCACAACTCGTTTTTTCTTTTTCGGACATTATTCACTTACTGTATAGAGGTATCTCCTTTCCATGACAACGCGCTGACACCTAAATGTGAAGTGGATTTGTTCTGGACTTCCGTCATAATGGTGCTGAATGCTGGAGCCAGACCACGGGGCGGCTGTGTCCAATCTATTAGACTGGAACATAGCAGAGCATCTCACGAGTAAACAAAAGAGACCACTGCGCCATTTTTGGCAGCCATCTTAAAAAAAAAAAGCCCGAGCGGTGCACCAACATGCCGAACACAGCGGTGCCATAGATGGCGAAGGTGCAGAACGACGGCTGCATACTGAAGAGACTGAGAGGGATTCAGGTAATACCCCCCAAACAATCGAACGCGATCCGAACGCTGCGGTTAAACTTGTCGGCTTCGTTGTGAGCGGTTAAGATGTTCGCATTTCTTCAGCCTTAAAAAAGAAAATCTCATTGTGAATTGGAATGCTCATAGTCTTAACTCACTTTCTGGGTGTTATTTCGGCTTTTTTACTCGGAATGTGCTCATTTTTTTTCTAAAATATAAAGTCCTGCACCGCTTTGGAAACAGCAAACCAAGTCGAAGGAGCTGAAATATGGCATAAATCCTTTTAAAAAAAATTTCATTGATTAATTATCCTACATTAACTATAAAAAAATAAATAAAAACAATTGGAATCAACATGTGCGACATCCACAGGTGTTTCCAATGTTGGAAAACAGTGTCTCTACATTTTATAGATATTTTACTCTGTTTTTTATAATTTTTTTCAACCTCTACAAAACTTCTTGCTTCTCAGGACATCACATGTACAAAGATGTTTCACCATGCTGAATGTATCCTCCATAGATTCGCATACTTGTCACCTATCTATGTATTCCATGCAAACACTGCCTGCAGTTCAATCAAAAAGTCCCTGTTTTCTTGTCACAGGAGTCGGTCGTGGCTTCCTCGTTGTACCAAAGAGTGCAAAATGTTTTTTTTTTTACAGAATCTGATGCAAATGGTTCATTTTCTGTGACTTATCAAAGAAGAAATATGTTGATTTTCATGAAAAATCACAATTCTAGTCCCATTTTTTGAATGGAGGGTTAAAAATGTGGTGATTTATTCCGTTTTTAAGGTTTCCGGCTCTGATAAATTGTACAATTTTAGTGATTTTTAAAAACATATTGTGCCATTTAAACTCAGAAAATAAAAAAACTATTTTAGATTAACATCTATTATAAACACAACATTCCTGTGTTGATCCAGGTTGAACTTATTTGAAGAGAAAAACATACTTTACATAGCTTTGATTGCAGATGCTACACTTTGAAACTAATTTGGAGAAATATTTGCATTATGAAACAAGGCTGTAACCTTGCATATTCCTGCTATTATAGTCCACAATGGCTGGGGGGGTGGAAAGGACTGTTTAGTTTAACAGAATAAAGGAATTTTAACAGAATAAAAGCAATACTGAGCATCAAGAATGCTGGCTGCCAAACAGAAAAAAAAAAAACTCTGTCAATATCTAGATGTTTCCGCTGACTCGGTTTATTTTCCGTGATTGTGACGCCACGTTTGCAGCACCTTCCTATAAGAAATACAGCAGTTTACAGAAACATCATATCCACCTGGACTGGGGCGATATCCCCTCATACAAGACGAATGTCAGCCATTACCGGCGGTTGACTGGCAGTTTGTGCAGTAAAATTTGAAAATCTGAACAAAGCGTTTCCTTCCAGGCACCAACACTTAACACTGACCCCCGGCAGCACAACAGACAAACATAATGAAAACACACAACGCCGGCGCCTGACGGGTATATACGCTATTGATGTGCCGCGGAAAAAAGGGCTACGGATACAGACTCTATAATTTCAAGCCCCGGGCCAAACGAGTGAAGGGGAACGGACTTGGCTTCCACTAAAATTCCAGCTAAGACACTCCGACAGCTCCTGGCTTCGACGCACACGTTCCAGAAAGGAGAAGCGTGATCGCAGGGGCGAGGCCGACAAGCTTCAGTGGAAAAGCAGCGCTGGAAACCCCGCCTAATATCCCATGAGTGCACCGAGGTTGCAGCGTTTGCCCTCCAAACCCTTCCCTTCTGTTTCCTTTTTCACCCGCAGACAGAGTAAGTGGCTACAGCGCTGTGAACATGTCTTAAGCGGCGCGGGGAGGCTTCTTAGAAAGAGTGGCCAGCGCTCGAACATGTGAGGCTTCCTAATGTCATGGTAACACCTCCCAGAGGAGAGTGTCAGGGACCACGATGCCCTCCTTTGGAAATGGCTGCGACATTCACAGACTCGGGTCTCCAGCAGGCCATGACCCTGCCTGATGTGTGGTGAGTGTTTGGGGAACAAAACATCCAACCGCATGTCACAGCAGTAGCAGCAGCAGCAGCATCGGAGGCTGACCGCGGATGAAACCGAGGGAAAAATGACGACTATGTGTGGCCGCATCTGCGTGTGTGTGTGTGGTGCTGTAATAAATGAGCGTTAACTGGGCAAACAGCCATTTAGCGCTAAAGAATAAATTGAATTTATATTGATATTGCAGTATGAAGGGAAACAATATCTACTTTGCCAAGAGAGCAGTGTGGGGAGTTGTTAAATGCATTTTACAGTGCATGCAATCTGCAAGTCCAGCACCGGGATGTTTTGGCTGATGGGCCAAAGCACCAGATGTCCATATGGCAGAGGCTGGAAACCGGGGGAAAAGTTCAGAGGAAGCATGTCGGCGCTTATACCGATCAGCCGCTGCATTAGGAGCACTGGCAGGTGACGGGAATAACATGGACGGTCTCGTTACGATGCGGCGTTCGGCAGAAATTGCTCAAGAAACGCGACAAAGGGGCCAAGCTGCTGATCTGACCTCCAAACTACACGGGGCTCAATGCAACTGAGGGTCCACGATGAGGCCGCACGACAGTCAAGAGTTTTTATTTGTCACATAGTTTATGTGCAAATGCAAAGTAAGTAAGTAAATGTACAGTATGTAAATAAAGAACCTTCTACAAAAACAATAGAAAAACTGACACTGTGATATTTAGTTTTTCTGCAATATCAAAAAACAAAAACAGGACTTTCCACCAGATGACTTAAACAACCCTTTGGAGAGAATTATTCACTCTAGAATGATTTGGATGATTTTGTCGGGGATCAAAAATAAAAAAAAGTAATTAAAAGAATCTTTCTCAAGCAGCAGTAACGCTGGCAGGTGACGTGAACAACATCCGTCATCTCGTTTCAATGCAGTGTTCTGTTGGGAAACTTTGGGTGCCGACAGCAGCCGCCTACCCCCCAACAGGACAATGCACCCGGAAAAACCGCTCAAGAACCACGACAAAGGACCCAAGCCATTGATCCGGCCTCCCAAAGATCTCCATCTGACTGAGCAGCCGCATAGAGGCTGCAGGTTGTCGTGATGTTTTGTTTTTCTGCAACAATGCAGATGACTTGATGAATGCATTTAGAAAGAATTAATCTTTATGATTGGAGTGATGTTGTAGAGGAGTGCATCGACATCAAAAAGTTATCTTTAAAAAAGCAGAAAGTTTGGAAGCATCCTGTGTAGCACTGACAAATGCTTTGGACTGTATTCAGACCTGGCTTTGCATATGTCACACCGTAGTACGGCGGCAAAAACTGCAAGAGAACTTGTTTTCGGTCAACATCTTCTTTTCTGCAGCTGTAATACTTCCATATAAGCTGATGTTGCATTTCTTTTTGCAACCAGAATCTTCCTTTTCAGTGTTTCTCTCCGCTTCCTTACTCATCCTGCTCTGCAAACGTGCAGCCTGCATGGCGACAAACTCAACTCGCCGAACCCTTTAAATGGTTATAAATTACTTTCTAGCAGACGTCTTTAATCGAGGAAGTTTTCTTTTTTGTATAAAGCAGCAGAAGACGTTCTTAAACAGGGAGTGGCTGTGGCCCCTTCCACCAAACATCACACAGAATGTAAATGAGAATCATGAATATTAAAATAAATTACAAAATAATTTACATAGCAAAGGTAAAATCCAATGCTTGAAGCCTGCCACACGTGTACATGAACCTGCGATTGAAGAAGTAAAAGAAAAACAAATTTATAGCGGGTAACATCACATATAGCGCAGATGCCTCCATGGATCAGATGCAGGTGGTTTTAATGTTGTGGCTCATCGGTGTGGCTGTCAGAACAATAGAAACTTCATCACCATTATTCTGCTTTTGCTCTGCCACACACAGCACAGTGCATCAGCGTCGCCTTGACAGTAGAATACTTCTGTACAGGTGAGCCAATTTGTTGGGCTCAGACGTATAATGTGTAAAAAAAAAAAAATGCCTTAGGTTAGTTATCAGGCTGCAGCTGCTAAAGAATTTTGATTTCTTTTTTTTCTTTCAACTCCTTCCCATCAAGGACAAGTTAGCTGCAGTCTTGATAAATTAATCAGGAAAAATAACTCGCTTCAGTTTAGAAGAAGCCTCCGATAATTGCGCTTTACATTTTGTCCCCTCGTTAGCTCGACCGTAACCTCCCACCGTCCTCGTCCTCTTGTTTCTCGATAACAGTCGCTGCCAAAAGGATGCGGCAGCACATGTTGCTCCTGAGAGACACTCACTTCACACAGCATGGCTGGGTTTAATTGAACGAGAGCAGAGTTCTCCAACCCCACATGTTCACTAACAACAGCTGTGCATGGAAACTTCTTGAAGGGTTATCTTTACTAGAAATTCAGTTTGGAAAAAAAAAAAAAGATGAAAAAAGACATCTAGGAATAGCATTTATGGCCAAGAGCTGCAGGTCTAAGGCGCGTCCGATGATCTAAACAGACAATTTCACATTCGTTCAGCGATACATGTACATATAGCTTCTGAAATTGGCCGAGCAGACAGCCTCGTAGTAGATGGATGCTGCTATCCAAACTCATATTGACTTTTGCTGGGCACTGAAAAATCTTGCAAAAAAAGAGAGAGAAGCATTTGATCAATAAGGACCACAAGTACAGCACAGTTCCTGGCCAACACCCATGGTGCTCTGACAAAATGCCCAAATATGAGCTCCGGAACAGCCAATTTCAAACCAGAGAGCATTAAAACAGCCTTCATTTTGTTTAACCTCCCATCCGCAGCTATAGGATCTGCTTAAACGCACACGCTGAAATATTTTTTTACACGGTTACATCACTCCACCCCCCTTTTGCACCCAGAAGGCAGAATCTCTAATCAGAATACAAGTGTGAGTAATTAAACTGAAAAACACAGTCGCAGCCGATGGCCGGCACTTTCTGTGAATGCGCATAATTAATGCTGCGGAGCTGCAACATTATGAGAGCACAATGGTCAAATTTATCAGCTCCACTCAGATGAACTCTGAAACGAACACGCCAGTTGGCTACGGAGCACCTATCACCTTTCTGCGAGGCGTCTAAAAATAGCAGCATTAAGCGAGGTACAGCAGAATGTGCATTACACTGCTGTCAAATTAAAACCCCTCATGACTCCACTGAAGTATACAATTACCAGCGCGCCTGCGACGGCAACACTGTTATTTCTGCAGCCTTTTTCATACACTAAAGAGCAAAATCTGAGAAGAAACGCACAAAAAAAAAAAAAAAAAGTGTTCATATTCTAAATCTATTTTTTTTTTTGGAAGTGACAGGACTTGAGAAGGGATATGGAGTTCTGTCTGCGACTTTATCAGCCAAAAAGCAGTGCTCCGGCAGCCGCATGTAACCTGTGGTGGTGTTCCAACCTTTGAGGTTTAAGTCTTGGAACTCCAGCACTGCACAACCCCCCCCCAGGGTTTGAGAGGAGACTGAAAGACTGGTTTTATCCCACAAGATGAAGTGGTCAGTGCAGCTCTGTGCTCCTGCGAGCACAGGGGGGAGTCCACACAGCGCACTGCTAGGGGTAAGATATACACTGGAGAGACATGCTGGGATCATTAGAGACCCGAGCCTCCTAAAGAAACTGAGAAATAGCCATGAACTACACTGCGGCAGGTGGATAAACAGACCTTCGCTTGAATTATGGGAGGATTTTTTTTTTTCTTTCCCCCTTTTCTTTTTTTTTTTTTCCGCTTTTCAACCGCCTGTGAATAAGCTTCTCTTGATTTGGCCTAATGTTGTTGGTTTTTCAAATGCTAATGCCGTTCTATACAGATGGCAAAAGTAATTTCAAGGTCCATCTCCTGTGTTCCTGTGTCGAAAGTTACAATTGACAAGTAAAATTAGGATGTTTTTGAAAACCGGTTGACGTCTCCATGCTCATTTTTGCTTCGTAACAGCACACACTTTGTTTAAAGGGAAAAAAAAAAAAGTAAGGTGTTCCAAACCGACTCACCTCCTGGTTACCAAATTCAAATAAATATCGTCAAGGAAACTACACGTCTTGTCTTCCATATTGAAAGCCATTCGAAAAAAACCTTTAATAATCACGTATCCTGGACTATTACGCCTTTTGTACGAGTAAAAGAAATCCATTTATACCCACCCTTTTCCTTTTTTTTTTTTTTTTTTTTATAAATACTGGAAGAGCTCCGTCTAGTCTGCAAGTACATATTTCACGAGATAAAATCAATGCAGTGTGTCTGTCAATGTTGGAGCTCACACGCGTTCTGTTTCCTTTGTTTGCTGTTTTGAAGGTGTCCAGCTCCCGTCAGCAGACTCATATACTCCAGTTAAACTGCACGCTAACAACGCAGCTGTAGAGAATCAAATACACGTGTCAAGAGGAAAATCTCCTCGCTGGCTGGCATTTATATTTTCTTCCCCACTTTACCTTAAAACTTGGGAGAATCACAGTTTAGTACCCATTTTATCAGTCCCACTGCCAGTGAAATGGGCACGCTCACAAAGATTTGCTTTGGATCGCTTTAACAGGTACAAACACATCACATTTGTGAAAGCTTGTGCTTCAAAAACGAAGAGAAAAAAAACCTCTTGAAAATGCCTTTCTAGGCCAATATTTACTCCCGTTGGCATTTATAAAATGATTTAATTTTGCTATTCAGTTTGCTTATTTGTTGTGTGATAATGTGAGAGATGAAAAAGTGTTTCTGCTTCATGAACACAGACAGATAGCATTAATATTCATGAGCTGGATGATTAATCACGAACATGGATGAGTCATGTTATTAAAAACTGTTCCTGCAGCCAAATATAAAAGTGGGGCTTCATACCTGGAGACTGTCTATTGTCTTACTTATGTAGGGAGACATCACACACACGCTGATCAATAAAATGCAAAAAACACGCACCATTAGTGGTTTAAATGTTCCTCGGATACCACAATTGAGGATGCGTGTACTTGCTCTAGGCTACAGATATGTTCAAAACACGCACTTCAGAAAACATGCAATTATACAAATGTGCCTCGTAGCGGGAGCGGCGTCCTATGGACCTGAACATATGCAGATGAAAAATCCTTTGAAGCAGCTGATGCAGCCAGTTTTTGAGTTTTCAGTGGATTCCATCCAAAGGTCCCTCTTGTTGACCAGGAGTGTGCTCATCCTGCTTTCGCTGGATCCGAATGAGGTAATGATGCCACAGGAGGGAGGCTTTAAAGGCACCTCTGTTGTCAGCTGCAGCATCTGTGCTGTACACTGATTCCTATTTCCCTTACACAACCCTGTACACTGTTTCCCTGTGCACTTGTTGACAGGAGCTTGTAATCTGAAATAGTCTGCAGGCTTGAGCTGCTAAGTCCCTTGTAGGAACGGGGATGCGGTGATGGTTTGGAAGGGGAGGATGAGGAGGAATGAGAGGGAACATCTTCCCTCCGAAGCTTATTGAGCTGTCAGGTTTCAGTCCCTATCACGCGGCATTGATTTCCTGTCACACATTGCACTGTATGTGCTTTTACACCCGCCTCTGACAAGAGCGCTTCGCATAATGGAGCCTGCTTTGGCGGTTATGACCACATCAGGAAGCCCGTCCGCATTATTGATCTGTGTTGACGCCAAGCATACTCCCTTTATTTAAATGGATCCATAGGCGGGGTGGCCAAGTGCTGGTTTCACACTCTGGTGTTTAATGAAAACTATCAGACTGTATATCGAGCGCGACACGGCGGAGTCATCGCGAGCTGCCACGGGAGGTGACACGCGGATAGTTAATAGCGCTAATATGTCCGAATGCGGAGATTTAACACTTCCCTTTTTGCAATGTATTCTCTATGAATTTTGAAGAGCTGACTGGAAATTACATTTTTGCATTAGCATTTCCGTGACCTTTCCGGCACTCAATTCAGCTGTCAGAAACTATACTGCTGGGATGCAATGAACCGAAGGGAGCAGGCCGCACTTAAAACACCTCCTGAAAATGGATCTATTAAACTTTCCGAGCCTTTACTAAACACAGTTTTGAGGTTTTTTTGTTTGTCATGAAAAATAAATAACATCTATTTGTCTCCACTTTGAAACAATCCTCGGGAAAAATTCATTAAAACGCCCCAGAAATCGCAAACGGAGAAGAGCCGACACATTATATAAAAATTAATCTTAAAGACAATAAATGGGTTGTGTTTTCCGTAGAGACCGGGCCTCATAATGGAGATATACAATGTGCACGCAGAAAGACACCGGCTTGCGAGAGCGGCGACAATCTCTCGGCCATGCCCGGACATTACTGGGAGTCATTAGGCTCTTTTAAATGAGGTTGTTAAGCCGATGAAATGAGGCCATATATTTGAGTGCAGAAACAAAAGGAAAAGAGTCTCCCGTCTCTCAGTGGTACACAATCCCTTCAAAGTCAAATACGCAATAAGTCTTGCTGCAGGGGAACGGCCCTGGATGGAGGCGCTTTTGGGGAGCAAAAGTCACCGATGCCCAGACAGTTCATAACATCTTATATCACTGTCAAACGAGCTCTGACTCCAGAAATAACTGCAGCAACAGTGTCGAATGTGACAATGCATTGACTGCTTTAACTGCTTCTAAACGCCAGCTTATGGAAGTTTTCTTACCACAATTATATGGATATGACTGTAATTACCATCAGTGGTGTAAAGGACTCAAGTATATTTACTCAAGTACTGCACTTATGCTACTTTCCACTCCACTACATTTATCTGACAAGCCTTTTTTTTTTGGTCAAGAATTGGACACAATGGATAATAGAACAAGCTTTTAAATACATAGTTCCAGATTAAACCAGTGCTTTCCAACCTTTTTGGCTCTGTACAAAAAGCAGTCGGGTTCAGATGTCTGTAAGTCGTTACCGGCTCCACCAAGTAGTGATTTTATTTTTTTTTCTCTCTCTTTTAAACTTCACATGGTTTCATTTCAATAAATGTTCAAAAGACTTACTATCTCACCAAAAAAAATCACAGATAAGAGGGAAAACCGAAAACAGATTTGTGGATCAGGACTTTGTTCTTGTTTCCTGCATTAATCATGTGATGAGCTCTCAGATATCAAGTAGTTCAAACTGGATCCACCTGCAGCAAGCTGCTGACACGATGATGCTTCACTATTAATAATCCAATGATGTCATGGATTATAATATATCCGTGAGAAAAACTAAACTTTTTACTTCTTAATGATCATCACAACTACGGTGCCCTAACTTTCACAGAGAAGCCATTTAACTAAATCCATCATCAAGACAGGAAAAGGAGCCACATTAGAGAGCTGGATATCATTGCCAATGTCACTGGACAACTAGTGCAGCACTGCCAGGGACAAACAACACTACAGGCATTG